CTTGGCCTTTTATTTTCCAGACAGCTCCTGGGGTACATAAAAGATTTTTCCGGAAAATAAAAAATCTCATTTCAGCATTTCAGAAGCCCGATCAAGGCATTGTAATACCTCTGCAGTATCCAGTGGAGAAGAAGCCCTCTGCTAGAAGCACACAAGGTACTACAGGTATGGTGGACTGTTCGTTTCTGATGCACTTTGGAAGTTCAGACTTCTAAACCACCTTTTCATTAACCATCTAGTTGTAGGAAGTTCTGTAGGACAAATGACTTAGAAGGTTAAAATTATTCACATGCTGTGATTTCAATATACTATACTGTAAACTTTTATTGTCCTTTGGGTGGCTCAGATGGTTAGTGCTTGACTGCTAACTGAAAAATTGGCAGTTTGAACTCTCCAAGTGGAACCTTGGAAGAAAGGCCTGGCAGTTTACTTTCATAGAGTTAAAAAAAATCCCAAACTCAGAGAAAAAATCCTCAAACTCACTCTTATCTGGCCAATGTTGACTCATAAAATCCTTCCGGACAGAGTAGAACTATCCCTTATCTTTCTCCTGTAGGGCAGCTAGTAGTTTGAACTGTTGGTCTTGCAGTGGGCAGCCCAATGTCAGGGCTCCTTATAGTCAAGAAAACCCAATGGAGCAATTCTACTCCCTAATCCATGGGATTGCTATTAGTTGCCATCAGCAGGACAGCCCAAGACAACAAGAGCTTAGTTAAACTTTTAATAAAGCTCTGCAAACTACCCCCAATTCTCTGAGCCCATCAAGATTTCAACCCCTCTTGCCCCAACATTAGGAGCCCAGGTGGTGCAGTGATTAAGCACTTGACTGCTAATTAAAAGGTAGATGATTGGTAGCTCCCTGGGTGGCAGTCGTGGCAACAGGCTTCAGTAAAGACGCACAACCTTGGAAGCCCTAGGGCACAGTTCTACCCTGTCCTGCAGTATTGTAACAAGCAGAATTTGACTAGATGGCAAAAGTGTCGGTTTTATGGGCTTTGTCCCATCTTGATCTCTCCAGCCCCTTTTGGAGATCCTTAACTACCATTTCACTATACTAATTTGGACAGTACGCCTTTGAGTGATGGGATCATTCAGACACCACATGGACTCTCCTTCACCTTCGCTTAGACATTTGGTTTTTTTGTCAGGCATGTAAAATCTAATGTTAGCCAGGCCCACGTGACCCTAAGTTTTGAATTTGGGGTGCTTGATTTAAGGGATTTTTATTGTAGCGAATGATATTGATTTACTAGACTTTATTATTACACTGGCAGCATTTGTTACATCTCCTGAGTAAAGCAATTTTAGGATAAGTGTCAAGCTAGACAGCCAACGTCTACAGCCATCTGATGTTTCTCTATCGAAAGGTATTAGTCACTTGTTTGGAGTAAGAGGATGTTCCTTGATTGAAAGGATAAATATTTATGATAAAAGAAAATTCTATCCTTTTTGACAGAGAACCAAACTCAGGCATAAAGTGACAATTAGACTTAAGTGATGAATAAAGTTAATGAATAGTTAGCCTCTATAATGGAAGTGTAAACAGAACAGTATTTTACAACTTGGCCAATTGTTCTTTTCATACCAGTATTGGACCTTTTAAAAAAAACATTCAGTTAAAAAAAGGTAGTTGCTCGAGGTAAATGCATTGCAGCCTTGTTCGTTAAATGCAGTTGGAAACTTTAATGATGACAAGTTCGAGTTAAAGGAGCCTGGATGCCACAGTGATTAAGCACTCAATTTCGGACCAAAAGATTGTTGGTTCGAACCCACCAGCGACTCCTTGGGAGAAACCACCTGGTGATCTTCTCTCATAAAGATGACAGGCTGGGAAGCCTGAGGGGGCGCTTCTACTCTGTCATATGGGGTCCCTGTGAGTCAAAACGGACTCCGTGGCACCCAGAAACAAAGTGTGCATTCACTTGTCATTGCAACAGTTCATAAGCGTATTTTAAAACTATTTTTCTTTAGGGAGAAGAGAAAGCCCTGATGTCTGCCTGAAAGCACCGTGAAGAAAAAGAAAGCACCTCCTACTTTATTTTCAATAATTTAAATATAAACTACGTTTTGTAGATGATACAGTTGAGTGAGCCCCACATGCATTTCTGCAACCATCATGTACGGAAACATCTCAGACAATGTTACAACCGGAATGGACTTTTGTAGATAATGAGGATTGAGGGGGTGGGGTGGGGGAAGCAATTGGGTTATGTTCAGTCAGTTTATTTCCAAATGGGAAACAATTCAAAGCATAATGTATATTTTCTAAAAGATGGATCGCACGTTTTACCAACCATACATGAAAATAACCCTCATTTGGGGGAGGGGGTGCGAAGGTGGGGAAGTCAAAGGCACCATTGTTAGTGAAATATGATTTTGATAGTTACAGAGTTTCAAACATTTTATGGGTGTCTTTGTCATGTTTGGGTCCCCAGTGGGTATCATGCGCTCCATTAGCTATGGTATCCTAGATTCCTTTGGGCACTGTGTGCTAGAACAAGTTCCAGACAAAGAGGGACAATATTCTGCTTGATTCTGAAAGTAACTTCTTGCCCAGGGCTCTGATGTTGGACAGTAACATCTACAGACCAATCTGGAGATATGTTGTAGTTGCTGGGTGCCCTCGAGTTGGCTCTGACTCATAGTGTCCCATGTGACAGAACTGCCCCAAACGCCTTTGAAGGTTGTCATGTGTATAGGAGCAGATCACTGAGGGACCAGGGTCTTTCTCCTGCACAGCCACTGGGGATATTTGAACCACAAACCTCTTAGAGAGCAGCTGAGTGCTAATGGGTCAACAGGACTATAGAGCTTTAAATCATATGCTCTACAATGTGTTTTATATTTGATACTAAGGGCTTTGAAATGCTGAAGGGACACAAAGTTCATGGGACAGTTCCATTGTCTTTTAATTCCCTTTTCATTATGGACTCTTAAAAATGTTTCATTGGCATATAATTCACGAACCATACAATTGAATGGTTTAAATATATTATAAGGGGTTGTGCAATCATCACCACAATTTTAGAACAATTTCTTCATTGTTGCACCAATTATTATTAGCTCCCCATTTCTCCCAACCCCCCTGCCATAACCCAAAGAAATGATTAATCTCATTATTGTCTCTATGGATTGATTATCAATCCTGGATTTCAAGTAAAGAAAATCATACCAACCATCCCCTCCAACCCGCCCCCCTAAAACCACACAACGAAAACCCTCAACAATGACAGCCAAATAAGAGACACACAAAAATCCTCAGTCTGAAATGAAGCAGAAAATTACAGAAACTGGAACAAATTAAAAATGGGTTAAAAGGGAATATAAATGACAATGGGTTAAATTTTATCTACATCTGAAGTAACCCTCTCTGTAATGCACTCTGTCTGAAGGCCAGACTATTCATATCCCTATCCAATGGTCTGAAATAGTTCAAAATCAATGGAGGCTTAATCCACATGGGGACTCTGCAAATGGATTTTAGGCTTTCATTGTTATCCATAGCCTGCTGCAAACTGCATGCTCAGAATGTAAGTTCTCACACAGTTCCCTCCTGTGATCTTTGGTTTTGCTTTTTACAATCCTTGGACCCAATGGACTGATGTGCTCCTTCTGTGCAGACTTAGCTGGCAACTCTTAGCTGCTTTGCTTGTGTAAAGACAAGTTTTCAAGTCCTTAGATGCTATTCTTTCTGATAGCTGGGCACCATCTGATTTCTTTACCACACTTGGGTATAGTACCCACACCTTCAGATCATGAACTTTTTGAAACCCCCTTGTGTATTATTCTGCTCTAGTTGTTGCTATTCTTTGTAAGACATCATTTCAAATGGGAAATTCAGAAGCTGTGGCTCCTCAGTAACAAATTTGCAAACAGCTTTCCTATTAGGTCACCTTATAAAAGCAATGCAAAGCTTGTGGTTACATTATTTTTAAAAATAGTTCACTGCCATATAATTCACATACCACACAATTTAACAGTTCAATTATATTATGAAGTGTTGTGCAGTCATCACTACAATCAATTTTAGAGAATTTTCTTCTTTCTCGTGCTTATTGTTGTTAGTTTCCCATTTCCCCCCAAGCTCCTCTGCCATGCCCCTAGGTAGTTGTTAATCCAGTTATTGTCTCTATAGCTCTACCTACCTTGGATTTAATATACAGAAACAATACGAGAAACAAAACACACATTAATGACAAAATAAAACAGAGAAAACCTCAACTGAAAGGAAAGCAGAGAATGTCAAAATTTGAAACAACTTTAAAATGGGTCAAAAGGGAGATCAAATGATAAGGTGTGACATTTTAACCTAACGGCCTCTGCCACAATCCATTGATAATGTGCTCTGTCTGATAGCAAGGCTAGTTACACCCCCAGATTATGGTCAGCGGGGATTTACCGAGATTTAATTCATGTGAGGATCCATCAAATGGATTTTGCTCTTTCCCTGTCATCCATATCCTTCTATAAACCAAATGTTCAGAATTTAAGCTCTGATACCATTCCCTCCTATGATTTTGATTTTTATTATTTACAATCCTTGGATCACACCGTCTGGTGTGCTTCTTCCAGTGGTATTAATTGACATCTCACTTAGATGGCTGCTATTTAAAGACAAGCCTTTAAGACCCCAGGTGCTATTCTTTTTGATAACCAAGTATCATCTTATTTCTTCACGACATTTTGCTATAGTGCCCATATTTCAGTGTTCTCTTCAAGAGTGCTACTAGAGTAGGGCCATGGTTATGTTCACTTTTAACCATCCCAAGCGTCGAAATTTTATGTGGTGATGAGTATTTGCATTTTCTTCTTTTGCATATATTTTCATGGTAGTTATGATCAATTGTACTTGAAAATGCTTCAGAGCTCATAGGATTCATTCATTCGATAAACATAATAGGCAATGAGGGTAATGAAGTAAAAACACCTGGTCCCTGCCTTCAATTAGTTCACTGTCTAGTTGAACAGGAAAATAATAGCAGTAAAAGAAAATAATAAAACAACAGAGGTAAATACTGGTGTATATACACTATACTGCAATAATGGTGATCTACCAGTAGATGCTTGGATAGATAACACAGACTGACCAGGTTGGAAGGGAGAGTGGGAATATACCCACAAATATATATTCTTTTAACAGAAGACATTTGTCTAGATGTATGTGTCTTTGCTGCAAATGAACATGGTGGAATAGACAGGAGGCAGAGTTATCTAAACTTAGTATACATAACCGAATATCTTGAGGGGATGAGTTCCTGGGCCTGTAGAATCAGCACCATAGTCTCAGAGGACACAAAGGTCAATGGGCATAATAGAATCCACAAAGACATTGTGCTACATCCTACTTCAGTGAGTAGTGCCTGGGGTATTTAAAGCTGCCGAGCAGCCATCTAATGCACAACTATTATATCTCCCTGTCTGGAGGAAAAAGAATAAAGAAAATCAAAGACATGGAAACAATTAGTACAGTGAAATCATGAACTTCATTAGGAGTGAGGAATGTTCAGCCCCTGGGCTGTATAAGGGCTGCAAACTCATCAATAACAGCTAATATGATATGGCTCCCCAAAGAGTCGTTTCAGCCATCACAGTAAGGGTGAGTGAAGTATATGTTTGACCACTCGGGCCCACAAATGACGGTATAAATATCCAAATGGTCCTTGGCAGGAACAAAAGGTTCCCCACCTTTGAAGTGCATGAACATTACTTTTTATGATGCAGAGACCATAAGAACTAGATGGCGCTCAGCTGCCACTACCAACTGCTCTGAAAGGGATCAAATGTGAAGGTCCTGGATAGAATGGGAGAAACATGTGAACCCAAACCCCAAATCATAAAAGAGACTAGGTTTCCTGGTTGGATAGAGATTTGTAGAACACCCTGTAATCACCCTGTTGGTCCAGAAATGAACTCACCTGCCATGGTTCGAATTTCAGCCAAACAATAAGCAGGGGACCAATAACACTATCGAGGTACACACACCTAAGAATACTCAGTCATTTGAGATTAAAAAGAGAGCATGTACCCCAGGGCCAAGTTCAGAAAGGAGGAATGGAGACAGCAGGAAACACAGAGAGGACGTGGGATAAGTGATAAGACATTGAGGGGCTTGTAATGAAGGAGATGGACCAAAATGCAGAATGAATAATTGAACGAAAACTGATCTGTTGTGGAAGCCTTCCCTCAATCCACAATGAAAAGTTTTGGGGAAATAGGCAGAATGGAATGGAAGACAAGAAAATCGTATCCTTAAAAGTTGACCTGTGCATGATAAGTGAAGTTCCCAGTGGTCAAGGAGGTGTGGTCCCTAGAAAAAGGTGGAGCGTTCATCAGTTTCAATGAATCAATTGGAATTCTGGGTTGTACCTGAGTGCTAGTGAGCTAGTGAGCTAGTGCTAGTGCTAGTTAATATTCATGAACTGCAGAGAGACAGAACTGCTCTCTGGGTGTCAGCAAGATCACATTTCTTAGCTCTTAAAACAGACGTTCTGGAAGTCCAAGCATGGCTCAAATAGCTAAGAACTCAACTACTAGCTGAAAGGTTGGTAGTTCGAACCCCCCCCAGACGTGCTTCGGAACACAGCCCTGGTGATGGGTTTCTGAAAGCCTGGAAACCCCTTTAGAGTTGTTTTACTCTTCACACGTGGGGTGGTCATGAGTTGGAATCACCTTGAGAGCATCCACCAACAATATGAGGGTTCCAGGCCAGAGTAGGACCCCAGGGCTGGGTTATAAACAGCTGACTGTTTCGAGAAGGAACAGCATCCCTTTGTCTGATAAATGAATTCAGAAAGCTGGCTTTCAAAAGAGCACGCACACGTGTAAATAACTGCAAAATATTTTTGTATCTTGAGCTTAAATTTTAACAGGTGTGGACATTTGCCGCCTCCAATTTGTTTGTCCTGGAGTTATCTTAAATTTATGAATTGTGTCTGTGTGTTCCTTTAGAAAAGCTTGTTTGAATCTTTAATGGACTTTCACATTTTAATAAAGCATTGGAAAATTTTATTAGCCTGATTTGTCTCCACACATACCTTTGAGAAATATTCGGAGTCGGCACGGTTCATATACAAAATAAACAAAGGTCATCTTACTCCGATTATTGAACTGATTCTTGAAAAGCTGAGTGCTTTCCCAATTGTTCTAGTCGATGTGTCTATGTCTACGCCCTTGTCTGCTTTTAGTGACTTTTTAATTCCGCACCTTTCCCTCCACTTTCTTTCCCAACGTGTGTCCCTTAGTGCTTCCTAGTACAGTGTCTTGCAATATTACAGGAAGGCCGGATCCTTGCTACATGGAAAATATTGCCACGCTAACATCTCCCTGTAAGATGCTGAGTCAAGATAGAAAATGCACATCTATTTCCCAGGACACGCCACTCTTTGGTGGCAGGTGGGGTGGGGGGCTGGGAGTGTGTGTGTGTGTGGGGGGGGGGTTGGTGGAGGGAAATGTGTCAGCAAGCCCACAAGGACCTTGACAGCTTATCAAATCCTTGCTCATTTCCTTTGAAATTTGTTCTCAGGAGATAAGGTTGTTAAGGTGACAAGCTTAGGCAATTGTTTGTTTGCCTGGCACAGCAGGAGGCCTTTGTGGCAGTGCTTAGATGGAAGAAGGCTACAGAGTAAAGCCTCTGATTAGTCCTCTGGGATACAGAAAGGGCAGGGCTTCAGATATTCCCTGCCTCAGAATGGAGAGAGTAGGAAACATGGTAGAAGCAGCCTTACGATCTGTTAAGAATGTTATCAGTTTATATTTGATTTGATTCACTTTATTGAGCTCAGGACCCAAAGTCTATTAATAATAAAGCCCAGCATTACCCTTGAGCATGTCAAGGATACAAGATGCCTGGTGCTCCTGTTACGGTGCTATAAATTCAACTTTGTTACCTGGATTTGCCCTTGAAGTTAAATGGGATGCCATTATGTGGCAGTTTGCAGTGTCAGTGAAGTTAAACTACTTGGTTTGGACACTTCCATAATTTGGGGTCATTGCTAAACTTGAAGGAAAAGGCTGAATTCCCATTAGATTACTAGTCTTGTGAATGCATATTTTTATGGAGAAAGATAATAACAAACCTTATGGGATAGAAGCTGTCAATATATGGCTATCACACACAGAGATATATATATAATATATGTATAATACCTTTTAATACTCTGAGGGTGACCTTCTGAAACAATAAACAACATGAAACAACACCCCAGGGATGTTGGGACGTCCATCCCTCAGGTGATACTCATAGACCCTGTTGTGTTGAGCTGAGACAATCAAGATGGGCTTCTGCTCCATGAATCCTTTATTGATTTATTTCTACCCTATCTGGGGCTAGAGATCAATGAATGAAAAGACTGAAAGGCATTTTGCCATGGTGGAAGCTCTAGCATGCCCAGCAAATTTCAGTACTGGGCTGTTTGGCCTCTATGTGTCTCACTGATACTAAGCTGAATTTTAGAAGATTTGTTGGCCTGCTTTTTTCAGGATCAGTGGTAAAGGTCTTCTTGTGAAAAAGACTGTCAAGCGGCCATTGTAATTGCCTAGAATGTAGACTCTTCCTTCTAGAAGCTCTGTGTTTATGGCTTTTCACCATTGCCTTCCCACATCCAATTTTCTTCCAATCCATGTGGATACCATGCCCTTGTAGTTCTCCCCCACCTGTGTGTTGTGTTGTGTGTGTGTGGTGTGCATGTGGTGTGTGTGTGATGTGTGTATGTTGTGTGTGGTGTGTGTGGTGTGTGTGTGGTATCTGTGAGTGTGTGGTGTGCTTGTGTGTGGTGTGTGTGTGGTATGTGGTGTGTGTGTGAGTGTGCTGTGAGTGTGTGCTTGTGTGTTGTGTGCGTGTTGTGTGTGGTGTGTGAGTGTTTGGTGTGTGTGTGGTGTATGTGTGGTGGCAATTCTTTTTTTTCCTCTTCCAAGTAATTGCACCTCACCACAGGCACTAAAAGAAAGGAGCCACAGTCTGGTGCGATTTAAATGTGCATCATTTGTGGTCATTTCTGTCCAAGATCCCATTTTCAGGAAAAATAAAACCGAAGAGCTGTTTGTCGGGGCTTAGTGTCTTTTTGATTTCGGCACTCACAGTTTCAAGATGCCTCGCTTTTCCTGTGTCCGTCAAGGAGCCACTTGCCCTATCGCAGGTGACCAGACTGACGGGAAATGCAGCTCGGCGCAGGAAGAAAATTAGACACAGTGTGCATTTGCAATTTTATTTTTTAAAAATGAAATATTCAAAGTACTTTTTTTCCTTTCAAATATCGACACGTAATGTTTAACTTTAAATATTTACAGCATGTTGTTGTGATGCTCTTGTAGAAAAATGCCAGAGCAAAATGCAAAAGACCGTTGAACGTGAACCTGCGCAGTATCGAGGGAGAGCAGGCATACGAAACTGGAACCTAGTGTTTCCTAGCAACATGGCACCGGCCATTGTAACACAATTGTCAGTATGATCAGAACCTCTAACTGTTGTTACACAGAAATGGGAAATCTTGGCATACACTGTAAACATCTTTACTGTTCATGAGAAAGTAAGCAGCTAAAAAGAACATTTTTTCTGACAGAAAGGCCGTCCTTCTCCTTTTCTCCTTCTCTCTTCACTGATGCTTTTGCCAGAAGAATAGTAAAGAGTTAGACACTGTCATGATTCACACAAGTAAAATATTTTGCAAGGACACAATCTGATATACTAACATTTATTTAAGAGGTTAAAGTCCACCACTAAATCTAAGGAAAGACTTTTTTAACTGCCAAACACATTTCCTTTGACAAATAATGTAAGATGACAACTGCCAAGACAAAATCCACAGCAAGTTTAACTCTAAATATTTCCAGTTACTGTTTAGGAAGTAATTTCTTCTTACACACAGTAGTATATTTGGTCCTTAAAAGCTTTCATATGAAGGACACACTGACACTATTTTTTTTTTTGTGGTTGAATTATTTTTTGTTGTTTTCTATTTTTTTTTTGGTTTTGGTTTGTTTTGTTGTTTGTTTGCTTGCTTGTTGTCATAGAGTGGAACGCCTTACAGAAGGCTGTGGAAGAGCAGTCTGACATCTGAATACGAGTCAGGTCAGCTATGTGTGCGCAAGTTCCTCCAAGACAGCGAAATGTCACAGCCAAACGGTAGCCTTCTGTCTGTCCACAAGCTAGAACTCACTCCCCTCTCGCCAAAAGTTTCTTTCAAAACTTGTTTCTATACTTTTGCTTCCATGACCACTGAACTCCAGTACAATTGCCCTTGCATGAATGCATCTTTATAAATAAAAAACACTGTGCCCTGACTCTCGGGTGGGCTTGGTTACAATGGGGGCTGGTTTGGTTAAAACCAAACAAGTTACATCAAAACAAAATTAAAAAACAAACAAACAGTAGAGGTCAATTGATAAGACTGCTTGAAATTGTATCACGGATGATGAGAAGTGAATTTCACAGCTATGTATGAAATGAGCAAGCGAATTCCAAATTCTATATTGTCATTTGGCTATGTGGTATTGAATCTATCATATTATATAGTCTATATGTTACAGATCTTCTAGATAAATGGTTAGGAAAGGACCCACTTACATGGTTTTGCTGGGCTAAAGTGAACACATATTTATGTGGCAAGTGTTTTGCTGAAATAGTGTGCAAATGTGGGGTTGCATTTTGCTCTCCTTCCAGAATCATGCTTCTTATCAGTCATGATTGGAATGACAAGAGAAAAAGAAGCAGATTTTAAAGGGCTGTTTCAACTGTGAACTTTACGGTTTATTTGGGTTTCTAGACTACAGTACAAGATTCCAAACAACACAAAACAACAACCCACAAATAAAAATGGGCCTACCTAGCCGAAAGAAACCACCCTGGAGACAAATGCTCTTCAGAGGAGAGCCCAATACAGTGCTCTCACTCTGACTTCATTGAATGGCAGGTATTAGCAGCGTTCAGCCACTTAGACCTTCTGGGTATCAGAAATGGGTAGATTTCTCTTCTAAATGCCTTTACTTTCAGCAGAAAATGCGAAGGAATGGTTCTGTCCTCAACTTAAACTTCAGAACTGCAAGTCAATGAAAGCCTCCTTTCGACTTGGCTGAATTGGAAGCAATGTGCTCAGTATCTCCGTGTCGTTATTACGAAATGCCAAAATGCTTCTCTTAGATTTACGACTCATGAATGCTATTTTCTTTTCTTTCTTCCCCAAAATTTTGGGAGTGGTAAAGAGAAAAGTAATAATAGTTCAAGGCAGTATTAAAACCACAGCTGTATGTGATAAAAAGTGCATTTCCTGAATATAATACAAATATAACTTTAAGAAACTAAAGGCACAAACTAACTAAATATGTATTACAAACTAGAAATGCACAGGTCAAGGTAATTACTATTAAGTAAAAGTTTCAAATATTTGTTTCTAATGGATATTTAAAGCAGTTTGAAAATGATACATCATCAGTGAATTGCAAAAAAGTATAATCACTTAAAATATAAGCAAAATAGACTCTAATATTGATATCTTGGATGAGTGACAAAATACATCATCACATTTATGAATGCACTCTCTATATACAGTTCATAAATTATGTTTTTCATTAATTTAAAGGAACGTCAGAGGTTCTAAGAACTTAAGGTCCATTTTTAGGCTGGTGTGGAGGTATTCAATTTTTCAACAAGTTCATTAGTCGCTTTAAGATTCTATCCTGACTATAATAGTGTATCATGAACATAGGCCTGATTCAGGAAAAAAACCCAATAAAATGTTTTCGATATGGATTAGAAATTTATTGAACTAGTATGCTTCCAATTACAAAGAGAGATGGGTTCAGCTTGGCCTCCTTCCTCCTCTCTCTCTTTCTTTATGGAACACACGTGAAAGATTGTGGCCATCCCACTCTGAAGGTTTGGAAATGAAATGTTCGAATCCACCTTCCTCTACTCTCAGCAGGTCCCTGCGTGGTAGGAGCTGGGCTCTTGCAAAATCTAAATGTGTGACAACCCCCTCCCCGGGCCTGACTGTGCATATTTTCAAAAGAAACGACCATCACCAAAGCAAGGCAATGACCCCGCACTGCACTTCGGTAGTAGCTGGCAAGCCCCGAGCTGTAACATCCCATCCGAAATTCTCCTTCGGCCATAGCAAATGTCCAGACTTCCTGACGGAAGTGCGGAAGCTGGCTCAGGGGAATGTTCCACGGGCCTTACTGTGCTGTCATGCATTTTCCTTTGGGGTAACTGACAATTACACAGCATTTGACAAACTGTCTCTTGGTCACTGGGCATAAATTTCCCAGCTCACCAAGGAGCTACTTGGCCTGCAGGTTTCATAAAGATTCAGATATCAATGCTAATCTGGACCTTTTGTGTTTTGTTCTGAAATTTTCTTTTCTTCCACAAATTTCCAATGATTGCAAAACAAAAGAACCCCTCCTGGAAAATAGATGCGAGTTTTGCCCTCTAATTAGGAGAGATGATTCCCTAGAAACAAAGGGGTAAAGGGAAAATGAAAAGATCGAAATCATCTAAATGATATGAATCAAAAATTGTCGGCCTCTCTAGACTTGGCTGATGCATGTGGGGCTGGCTACGGTTCGCATAATCGAATTCCCTGCATATGGCTGGGAGATGCTCGCTAAAGAATGGACCCTTGGCAAGATAAATGGAAGGGAGCTGAAATAATGCAGCAGTAACTACCGTGAGGCTTGGCTTCGTTTGCCCTTTGGTCCTTTACATTCACCGTAGCGTTAGGCCTATTTTTTCTTAAGGGGTTGGTTCTTATGCATTTCGGCCATAAGTGGTGTGTTTATCGGCATCGCAGGTGTGTATGCTTGCTCTTGTTAAAGGCTTCTTTTTTTGTTTTGTTTTTTTTGTACCAGAGTCATACTTCTTAGTAAATTATCTTTCCTGTGCACAAACACATCGGATGAATGTATAAATACTGAATCACTAATGTGAAACCATGACCCAAACACACCCTATATATAAAATGAGAGATTCCTACCCGGGTTAACAAAAGCTATGTGCACATGACACCAATACAACCGGGCAAATTGATAAAAACAGCAAGTAACTTTCCTTTCGCCAAAACCAACTGTGTGGGCGTCGCTAAATTGACCCGCCGCTGCGGTGTCAAAACAGGACACACACAAATGAATGGCTCTTTGGGTTTGGTCATCACGCCCACGGGAAAGCGTGGTTGACAGAACCCAGCCAGCACGTGCCAAAACACAGCACCACGACATGGCATTGACTGGGACCAGCAAGGAGGAATAACAAGGGAGGAGGGCAAACGGGTCCCGATTCTAGGAGATGGCTGTTGGAGACATTTTTCCAGTTGTTTTCCAGTTAACCTGTAAAGATGGGGAGAACAGGATCGCGCTGGCAGGTAGTCTTTGGAAACGCCAAGTCCAGATAGGATTGTACCACCTGTTAAAATAGCCCGCCAGTTGGGAGAACAGTTAAATGTGAAACTTAGTGTCATGATTGCGTGAGAACCTTGGATTCTTTTCTCTAGATCGGGACGGATGCATGGCTGTACAAATTGAAAGTGGTGCTTGCTTGGAAAACCAAAAATCAATACAAAAACCCAAAGCAAAAACCCAACTTGGTTGTTGTGGGTTTTTTGTTTGTTTGTTCGTTCAAGCTGTTTGAATTCTACTTGTGTGTTTTTTGTGTGTGAATACTGCCACACAAGAACTAAAAATCGCTGTCGTTTCTTAAAGAGTTTAAACAAACGATATTAAAATACCATCTTCCGTCACATTGAAAGGCAGTTGGATATGTTTTTCCTCCATATTTCTATAGAGAGAGTTCGGATCTAGAAAAAACCAATACAAGAAACCATTTTCTGGTTGGAAAAACAGGCAGTCTTTGGTGACGCAAAGGCAGAGATTTCTTTTGTTACCTCCTGCCTATTTCGCTCTGTCTCATAAAGTGAATATTGTTGGCACTGTCAGAGAGTTCTAAATACTGCTCCACAGACAAGACAAAATAGCCATCATAACCTTGCACCCTCCCAGTGCTTAAAAGCTGCTGCCTCTCCCCCTCTGTCCATGCCCGGGTCCCCTCTTCCCCTTCTTGAAGTCGCCTTTGTTCCTTAGTCCAGGCCTGGGCCACCGCACGCAGTCTCGCGACCTCCAGCACGTGGTTCTTCTCCTCTTCCACAGTTGTCCCGTACCGGATGTTGAAGCACAGAGCCCCATGCTGGAGCTGGATGTCTGCAAACCGTCTAGTCCTTCCATCCAACACAGAAGTCATCTGGGAGACGGTGACATTGACACCATTCTCCAGGATCCGCCTCCCCCCAGTGTTACCGATCAATACCAGGTCCTCCTCCAGCGAGCCAAGCTTAATGAAGTAGTGCGTGTCCCGCCCCTCAATGGTGAAATGGAGGTTTTCCAGGTAATGTGCATTATTGAGAATGGCAGCCAGTCGCCTGCTGTCTTCATTGGCAACGCCTATGATATCGGCGGTTACGATGCCATCCTTGATGGCAAATTTGATACCTTTTCCAAACACCGAGGGAACCGCAGCAAACCTGGGTTGTTTCCCGCCTTCAAGGCACCGGCCATCACTATACTGGGGAGTCATGGGAAGTTGGTCCAAGGAAATGAAATTGCGGAGCTGTTTCTGCAGCTCACACTGAATCCCCAGGATAGTCTAGAAAAGAAGAAGAAGAAAAGGTACAAGGTGGCTGTGGGGTGGGGGGAAGCACCGGTCTGGAGCTCCGGTGCCCAAGCAGCAAACAAGGTTGCAAGGTTGCTGCCATCTCATTTTACTTTGCTGTTTTGAATGACCAAAAACCAGGTCAAGTTGGGAATCACTTCATCAGAGATTTGGAAAAGACTATCAGGGGACAGGCATCTTTCTTAAGACCTTGATGGACTTGAGCCTAAGGAAATAGCTCCAAACTTAATATCAGAATCTCAGAGCTAGAAGGCACGACACGTGGGTCCAGCTCCCTGCAAACACAGGCAGTTGTTCCTTACCCATTGACCCTGACCCTGACGTTTAGAAAGACGTTAGATATGCACTGCTGCAGAGTCAATTTGGACTCAGAGTGGCCCTATAGGGCAGAGTAATAGGGCTTCACAAGGTTTCTGAGATGGGTCAATCTTTACAGAAGCAGACAGCCTCATCTTTCTCCTGTGGAGTAGCTGGTGGATTAGAACCCCTGACCTGGAAGTTATCAGTCCAATGCTTAACCCACTGTTCCAACAGGGCTCCTAAATTAGGCACCCCCTTTCCAAACTCTTGCCCCCCCCCCAACAACCCCAATCCCACTACCACCAAGGCTATTCTGACTCATACAGGATTTCTGTGGCTGTAAAGCTTCACAGGAACAGATAGCCTCATCTTTCTCTTGCTGAGCGGCTGGTGTGTTTGAACCACCAACTATTTGATTAGCAGTCTAACGCTTACGCTACCACCGTACCACCGGGGCTCTGACATTAGGTACAGTGAGGTATCAAGAGATATGCTATGACATGGAACTTTCCTTCAAGTAGTTCATGAACTTATATATGACTATAGAAAATCTGAATAAGTTCACTGATCTTTTATGGTGGGGACTTTAGTCTCTGAATTGTACATGTAAACAATGTTTCAATGGTGTATTCCCTTGAAATATATCCTAGTGACGTAATAGGTTATGTATTGGGCTGCTACTTCCAAGACCAGCAGTTTGAAACCACTTGCCAATCCTTCACAGAAAGACGAGGCTTTCTCCTACCATAGAGTTAAAGTTCTAGAAACCCACAGGGCCAGTTCCAGGGGCACTAGGAGTTGGAATTGACTAGATGGCAGTGAGTTTGGACTATATATAGATATATATAAAATTGTGTGTGTATATATATATATACATATATATATACATATATATACACACACACAATTAATGAAAAGAAACCCTTTAGCATGGCAATTTTCAATGTACTGAAAAACCAAAGAGAACAAAGATCCTCCAAAGATGACCCATTACAAAGTTTCAGCGATTATCAACACTTTTCTAAAGGTGGGCGGTTTTTTAAAGAAGGGAATTTCATTACAAAAACATTTGCATATTATATGCATATGTGCAGAGTATTGCCTCTTTAGAATTTTCTTTCTTCTACACCTTTTTTTAAAGGACTGAATGATCAGGCTCTCTTACCCAAATTTTAGCTTGTTTGTTTGTTTCTTTTCTATGGAAAAAGTTGCTTTGGATATCCTTGTGCACCTCAGGCACTAGATGAAATCCTCTGCTGAATCTTGAATGTTTTCAGTATTCCTGTTTTCCAGACACTATCCCTGGGGTATTTATTATTTGTACTTCATTTCTCTTGTTGGTTCCCCTGTGCTTTCTCATCATTTTCAGAATCATTTAAAGTCTGTTCTCCCCCACACTATTAATGCACTAGCCCTTGTATTCTTTTAGGGTTGGAAATGGGATGTTTTTTATGTTTCTCAGTGAACGATTCCCTCTACGGAGATAATTGGCCTCGGTTGCCCAGTCCAGAATTTTGAAAGTTCCTTTTTCTTCTTGTTTAGCAGCCACCCCATCACCTGTTAGTGGTGTCTTTTCCAGTAGCCCTGATCCCATGATCCCTCGTGGCTCCTTTTCTCTAGCTCCTCATTCATCATGGATATTTTAGTAAATACTCACAATGACTAAAACACAAATAGGCAGATCTATATCAATACTATTTCATGTCACAGTGACCTTGGATAGGGTTTCTGAGCCTGTGCATTTTTATAGAAGCCGACAACCACATCTTTCTGCTGTGAAGTGGCTGGTGGGTTTGAACTGCTGACCTTGTGGTTAGCTGTCTAAGGCTTTTCCAGCAGCACCGCAAGAGCTCTCTATATTGTTGTTCCAACTCAGAGCAACCCTCTGTGCAACAGAACGACAGCCACCCCACCCTGGTCTTGTGCCATCGTCACAATCATAGTTAGGCTGGAGCCCCTGTTTCAGGGTTCCTTATACCCAGACTCCAAACACACTGCCATTGAGTCCATGCCGACTCCTAGTCACCCTATAGGATAGAGTAGAACTGCCCCTGTGGATTTCCAAAACGGCAACTCTTGACGGAAATAGAAAGCCTCGCCTCTCTCCCGAGGAGTGGCTTGTGGTTTTGAACTGATGATCTTTGCGTTAAGCAGTGCAATGTGTCACCACCATGCCACTGAGCTCTCCTAGGGTTCCTTATAGAGAGTGAAATTTGTACTAACCTTTCCAGGATCCCATTCTTGCGTTTTTGTTTGAAGTTGCAGAAGTTCATAAGTTATTTCCAAATTTTCTAACTCAGGTTTTGGAAATCCAGGTAGCACATTGTGTAACTGGAAACCAAACAGCTCCAACCAACTTCCGATATCTGTGAGGCACGTGGTGTGAAAGAAAGAACACTGAAACACATGCTGCACTGTCTTTGGTACCAGCTTGAAAGCTTCCCTCCCATGCACAATACGTTCAGACAGGAGGAAGTTAGGGATACAGTTGCTTCGAATACACCCCACCTTAAAACCTCTAATGATTTTTCTACATGAAGTCTTTCCATTTGGAAAGAATCCTGGAGATAAGCTGAGTTCTTAATGTGGGAATGGTGCCCAGGATACACAGTCTGGGATCACTCACTCACTGCCTTTCCCCCCCACCCCCCACTGATTCTGACTTACAGTGGCCCTATGGCCAGAGTAGAACTGTGCCTTGGGGTTTCCAAGGCTGTACCTCTTTTCGGGAGCAGCCAGCTTTATTTTCCTCCCAAGAAGCGACTGGTAGGTTCGAAGTGCTGACTATGCTGTTAGCAGTCCAACGGGTAGCTCGTAACCACCAGGCCTCTGGGATATTAGATTTAATTGAGGGGCTCTAACCTCGCATTTCTATTTTATGAAATTATTCATAGAAATGTTTAAGAGTGAAAACACGCACAGGGTAACCGCATGAAAGGAAAGAAAGAAAGAAGGCACAAAAAAAAAAAATAAAGAAGAAGAAGTCATTGATCAGTCACCATCTGTGCTACCTTGCATCGTTGTGCTCAGTGTAAAAAACCAAAGATGAGCGTGCACGCAGAGCACTACCTTGCGGGCCAATGGGGGTAATGGGATGAACAACCCCCCCCCCCCGTTAGCTCAGGTTCAGCAGACAGATCTCTCCTGTCTCCCTACCTGTGGTATATTTTGCAACGTCTTGAATTTTGCCAACTGGGTAATTATTTTCAAAGGAGTAGAGGTTGAATGGCTTAGGAAGGAGGTTCAACTGCTTCCATATATGATGATTGGGTGTCGTCCATCTCCCGGCAACCACGTCATAATCCCGCTGGCCCAGGTGCACTAATTTCGTAAGGAAATCATAGAGTCCTCCATGGAAACCAATGATGACCTGGAAGTCAGGGTAAGTGTCGTGATAGATATCTCCATAAGGAGTGTACAAGATCTCTTTGATCACTTGACCTCGGCTGCTGAATACAGCCAGGGGGGTGCCGGTATTATCACAGGCAACATAGTATTCTTCTCCGCTGCTCAGCTCCATGGCGATCAGGTGGCCTTGCAGATCATAATACAGTGATGTGATCTCCGAGCTGGTGTGGTTGTACAGATGGGTCACTCGGATGGGGTTGGCAAGGTCTGCGTAGAAGAACTGCAGGTGCTGCCCTAGGCTGGACTTACTGGCGACACGGCGCCCGAGCCCATCATAGTAATACTGCATCGTCCAGCCAGAAGCCTTATTGTAGGCTTTCTGTAGCAGACCGTTCGAGTTATATTCAAAGATGTCATTTCCCCTCTGCCTCAGAAAGCCATCCTCATCCATTTTATACTGAATTTCTCCCAGTCTGGTGATGCGGTCTCGGAGGTCATATCGGAGCGGAGTCAGACGAGCACTGTTCCCATGGCTTAAGAGGTTGATGTTGCCATTCAGATCGTAACTATAACGCCACTGGGTTTTATCGTTTACAGAAACAGTTTGAAGTTGCCCGTCAGCATCGTACTCATAGAAGTATCTCGTGATATTGGCATCGACCCCTACCCTAATGTCGCAGATTACCATGCGGCCCATATTGTCATATTGAATGGTCATCCAATAGGCAATTGCCTTTAGGATTTCATATTGCACTTCGATCACTTGACCGTTGGCGCTGAAGATCTTGGTGTGCTTCATCACCGTGGTTGTTATGACCTGATTTAAATCATAATTAATTACACTGAATTTTCCAAACTGTTCTGTTCGACCAGAGACATCCACATAGCGGTAGAGATCTATGGGCAATGGGGTTTCATTGATCACGGCTTGCATGCTGGTGACTCGAAAGTTGTTGTAGCTATAATCGAACCGGGCGTTCACGAGACCTTCTTCACTGAATCGAAAAATCTGGCGTCCAATAAGAGGCCCTGCAGGGACCCAAATAAAAAACAACAATAAGGAGAACAAAGCTAGGTGATACACGGTGAACGAAAAGAAAAGTCAAGTGCTCTCGGTTATTCAGGCTCTTACATTCAAAAGAAAATATTAGAGATTAACCCCCGGTATCGAATATACAAGCATACTATCTCATTCGTAGAGTCTCATAGTGGAGGTCAGCAAATAGGGAAATTAAAAACACAGTGTAGTGAAGTCATAGAAGAGGAACTCTCAAAGTAATTATCCATCCAGTGGCCTGCGGTGATGTAACCCAGGTTAGAAACGGGCTTTCTTACTCTAATCGCCAAAAAACACAAAGGAAGATGCTTTAATTTCATTTAACCCGAGCTACAAAGTCAGAGGGTTCGGTTTTGGCAAAGTCCAATCTGACAGTAACCGGATTTGGGTGTTTTATAAACCCAAGGGATGAAACGCATTCAAAAGTTCTGCCTTGTGAAGAGAGTCGTCACCAGCTGAGGCTTACAGAGCTTACACGGGGCTTGAGCTAGTTTCAGTGAGCTTCCTATCTGCCACCTCCATCTTTGGGACGATGTGGTGGTGGGTAGGAACGGGAGCACCATTAAACTAGGTGCTCAAATTGCCATTTTCTTGAGCGCTACAGCAAACGAGCACTGTTTGTAAGGAATCAGCGCTCATGCTGCCTAGAAAGCAGGTTTTTAATTTTCAGTAGGAAGATCATTTGATGACTCAAGGCAACGTTGGTTGGACTGAGTGGCTAGAGGTTAGTGCCGTCATCTCAGACTGAGGTCAGTAACACGTTCCCAAGGAGATACTGAGGTTGTGGGATACATCGCCCGTTGCCCCTCCCCCCCAACTCCCACAAACCTGTTTGCCTGTATCGGATGGTGCAAATGAATCCGTCATGCATCAGATGTATGGTCTTAATCACTCCAGAAGATTCTTCATAGGTTAGTGTGACCTGAGTGGTATCATAGAGAATCTCAGACAGCCTTGCTTGCTTGGTGTATCTGTAAAGAACCCTGCGCCCTGTCCCCAGGTTTAGGGTCTGTAGCCGCCGGCCATCTCGACTGTAGTCTTGGATGAAAGACGTGCTGCTGTCCGGAGGGGTGTAGATGTTCCGGTAGTAACCCACCGAAAGCATGGTTTGTAAGCTGTGACGCACCATGCTAGGCATGGTGACTGAGAGCAGGCAATCCGATTGGTCATACTCAAAGATGTAACGCCGCTGGCTGTGCAAGAGGAGCATCACAGACTGCAAGGAAACAAAGGGCAGGAAGCTGACTGAGGACCATTGAACTTGAGCAGATCCCAGGAAATCCCCCTTCGTCCGCACCATGCCAATTCCTGCAGCGCCTATGATGTGCCAGACACTGTTATCCTTGACAAGATGATGTGGAGTCTCACGAGATTTCCAGTGTGATGTACGAGAAAGATAATCGCACTATTACACGCAACACTTACAATATGAGTGCGATATATATTATGACAGGAGGAGTAGCCTGCTTATGGGAGGGAGGGGGAACAGCTAAACCCAGATGTTTGGGGTCAAGAGAGGCTTCCTGGAGAAAGTAGCCTCTAACTTGAGACCTAACGATGACAAGGGGTTGGCATGGTGCAAACAGGAAAGGAGTGGAGTCGGGGAAGCAGGAAAAGGGGGCGTTGGAGGTTCAGTGGTCAAACGCTTGCCTTTCACTTGGTAGACCTGGGTTGGATCCCTGGCCAAGGTGCCGCGTGCATAGCCACCAGCCCTCAGTTCGAGTTGCGAAGCTGCTGAACTGTCCTCAGCAGAGCTTCCAGACTAAGATGGACTAGACATAGAGACCTGGCTGTTTACTTCCTAATATCAGTCAGAGAAACCACTGGTTTGGTCCCGTTATGCACGGGTGTCCAGGGCGAACGCCACTTAACATGAAGGAAGGTAGCTCCTTGTATAACTTAACAACAGCTAACCATAACCAAGATAATGCCTGGCCAGGAAAAGAGAACGTGGCCTTTTCCAACATGAGAAGAATTGTGGGTGGCCAGAGCATGCGCTTGCTCTCTGTGTGTGTGTGTGTGTGTGCGCGCGTGTGTATGTGCATTATTAGAGAATGGTAAAGTCATTTAGGCAGGGAGAGGCTACACTGTGCAGGGCTTCCTAAGCCAGGTTAAGGAGGTCGGACCTTCCAGATGTTGACAACAGGGCGCCATTGAGGGTTTTCAGCAAGTTGGGGCAGGGGTGCTGACATTGTAGAGCGAAACAACCAGGGCTTCATTTTGGCAAGGCCTCTGTTGTGTCATTGCAGAGATGACTTGAAGGCAGGCAGGGAGGGAGCAGGGTATGTTAACTTACAGTGACCAAAAGGTGCGGATGGCTTTCTGGAAAGCTGCCTGATTATTATTTCACAATTCACGTTTTAATCATATTCGGGAAATACGTTATCTAAAGTGCAGCATTCTCTGATTATCAACCACCTAACCCTTAAGCCAATCTATCTTTCAGAAATAGTTCTTTTAAGCAGGTAATAAGTGTTTCAGAAATATTGGGTGATCTCATGTTAAATAAGCAAAAAGGGAGGCAGTGTTTTAGGAAGGATTCAATTGTGGCTCGAATGGACTAGCATTTACATCGCACCTCTTCATGAAAACCAAATGTGTCCGCATCCGGAGATTCTCAGCTAAAACTAAGAAGAGTGGCAGTGGGGGGTGGGGTGGGATGGCACCAGGGGTCAGGACTTTACCCTTCGCTCCTGAGAACGCTCTTATTAAGCAAATGGACGCCACGCAGCTTTATTTTCTGATTTAAGTCGTCAAAAATGGGACTGATGTCAACATGAAAAATGCCCATTTAAGTGTTCTAAACATGAAATTAGAGTCTAATATTGAATCTGCTTATTAAAACAGCATAGCTGCTCTGCCCTTCAGACAGTTATTGACTTTGAATTGCGTGCCAGTCGTAGGGACTTGAACTTGGCCTTTCTTTGCTTATTCTTTCTTTCCCACCCGACCCTATGCCTGGGGAGACAGTTTGCTGCCACTTGTCACAGGCTGTAGTTCCGGAGTTTTGACCTCTGAAAGCCCTGCTCAACCCAGGGCAGGGGACTTGGGAATCCTGCCTGAGCCCGGGAACACAAAGGGAGGACTTCGTTCTGTAGCTGAGGCAGAACGCCACAGAGCCAGCGTGAGCTTCTAGTAAACGAGGCAGCAGGTGGGAGAGGGCAGGGGTGGAGTGGCTTTATATAGGAACAAGGGGGATATGCTTTTGCATTCTCTGGGGACTGAAAGTCAGGTTTCTCAGCTCATCTCCATTCTCTTCTGTCAGTCTGCCATGAACAAATGACATCCGTCACCGGGCACCATCACCCGATGGGCCCTGCACGTTAGCTAGTCCTGGTCAGCCTGGACCAGGCCCTTTCTAGTCAGCACACCCCGGTTGTTGCCAAACATTTATAGCTTATTGTGATTGTATTCGCTTCCCAGGTCTCCTTCCTCCATGCCTCGGTCAAGCACTGCCTGCATCTCCTTTTAAGTGTGGCCTGCTGCCGCCCCGGTTTTAAGCTGCCTGGCTGATGTTAAAGCCAGGCAAGCACGTGGACGACGTGCTGTCAGAGCACCATTTGGCTGCCCCGCTCTTTCACTTTAGGTGGGCATCATTAGCAGTTTGCTCAAAAAACAAAGCTTGTCAGTCAAGCCGGTGGTCACAGGGCTGCTATGGAATAAGAGGCCGTTTCTTATTAGTCCAAAGAACAGAGTGGAAGAGTGGAATTTTACTTAAGGACATTGAATGTGAGATCCTCAAAGAGATCTCTGCCAAGCAAACAAAAAGAACAATCACGGCCGCACTCCTTTGAACTCATTCTCTACCAGACTGTTAAAAGAAATTGTGAAAAGTTAAAGCTTTTCAATGACCACCAGGTGGCGATGTTGGACCACATGGACGTTCTAGCCAAAGCCAGCCCTCTCTCTAGGCAGCCTTCTGAAAAGTTGAGCCCCAAAGAGGCAATTTTGTGCAAATGTATCAGACCAAGGCATCTTATTAAGTGGTTATAAAATATATTTAAATGCATGTTTTAAATGAAGTTCTTAAGAATGATCTTAGGAAATGGAAAGATTTACATTTACTAGAATACAAAATTGTAGCCCCAAAAGTCTTGCCAATATAATTAACTCAGAGAAGTCTAATAAATCATGATAGAGAATTAATGACCACAGAGAGAAAATTTAAGAAACAATAATTGATTTTTTTAATAGAGAGGAGATCATTTAAGCAACTGCAGCCATTAGCCAAATAATTATTTTTCTCGTAATGGCTACAAACCATTGTGCAAGAAAGTAATATGCATAACACTCACTTACTCTAGAGCAAGTCTAACTATTTCAACAAAGGGGAAACATTTGCTGTTGCTTTTTAGCGAGGCCTCGAACACCGGTATGGCCAGCAACTGTACAGAGATAATGTCAGAAGAATTGGCTTAAAACATATCGCAAGAACTAGCCACATTGTCACTACTCGGCCCGAGTCACAGGACAATGATCTGCCAGCAAGAGGACTGAGGCGAGCACCGTCACCTGGAAAGTTACATGCAACTTGGCTTTTAGTAAATTCTCCTTCGCCTTTTTGAAGCCCTCACATTTGTTAGACGTGAGTAAAAAGAAAGATGTCATCTTTTTTGTTTGCTTTTCTTTCCCATTCCCTGACTTTCTCTTTTTCCCTGTTTTGATTTATCTTCAAGTGGGAGGACTAAGGCGTGCCTTACCATGGTATGTTCAATCACCCTGTATGTATGTGAAAGTTGGACAGTGGTTGAGGAAGACCGAAGAAAAATCAGTGCATTTGAACAAATCTGCTTTGGAAGAATAAGGTCAGAGTGCTCCTTAGAGGCAGGGATGATAAGACTTTGCCTTACAGACTGGACATGCCGTCAACAAAGACCCAACCTTTGAGAATGACATCATGCTGGGTAAAATAGAGGGGCAGCAAAAAAGAGGAAGGCTCGGGCCAGATGGATGGACACAGTGGCAGCAACAATGGGCTCAAACATAAGAACAAATGTGAGGATGGAGCAGGAGCAGGTGGTGTTTTGTTCTGCTGTGCATGTGGTCGCTATGAGTGAGAACGGACTCAATGGCACCTAACAATGACAACAGACTAGAAATACACATTTAGATATACTGTTCAAATAAAGAGATGCTGGCTTTTACAAGGTAAGTCAAAAAAGGGTGGCGTCGTGGGTTACACGGTGGGATGCTAACCACAAGATCAACAGTTCAAATCCACCAGCTGCTGTGAGGGAGAAAGATGAGGCTTTCTTCTCCCAGCAAGAGTTACAGTCTCAGAAATCCATAGGGCCCGTTCTACTCTGTCCTACATGGTCGCGATGAGTCCGAATTGACAGAGAGAAGTTACGATAGCAAAGAGAAGTCATTTGAAGTTTGTGTCATATTGATTCTTCTGATGAAATACTCAGCTAATTTAGAAAAGAGAAACAATATCATTGGCTAATTGGGGCCAGAGAAGAGAGTAAATACCTAGACACAGGCTGAAGTTTAAGATTTTGGCAGAGCCTCAAGGGAGAGTCTTATGGAACCTCAATCTTGAGCTGCCTGTGTCAAGTTAGGTCCATGGGTGCTGATGAGGTTGGGGTTGTGAGTTCAAAGGCATGCATGCTACTAAGGAGTGCTAGCTATTCCACCGATCACACTGGAGGGCCCATGGAAGCTTAGCCACAGCCATCGAGAATGACCTCAGAGGCAATATTCCACTAATGATCAGTGGCATCCTCTTTCCATATAAAGCTCATCATCATAGGCCGTAAGAGACATTAGGCTTGTGTATACGCAGCACCAAATACTTAGCTTCAGTTTGTGGTGTAGCACGTGTAACACTTGGTAGACATTAGTTCAAAGCTTTTGCCAGTCACTCTTGCCATCAAAATCGAACACAGGAATGACTACCTGTGAGAGTTATGTTTTGGGTCATTGTGCACCCATCCTGGGATGCTGCCATATCAACCACCAGATCAGATCAGATTAGATTAGAGCTTTGCTTGGTTTCTCCAGCAGAAAAGGACATGGGGGGGTGGGTGGGACAGGGGAATAACAGAAGACCACTGTATCCTCTGAAGTTTGACACCATTTGTGAACTCTCTCCTTTTGACTTGACCTCCAGGCAGAGTTCCTAGGCCATTCTAACGTGGCCGATTCCCCAACGACAGACTGTGGCAAAGAGTGAACTATGTGTATACCAACATACCACCCCGTCACACCTTACAAGCAAAGACAGTAGACATATTGGGAGGTATATCATAAAGGCTTGATGCCCCTCAACGCATGAGCATTTGCCACCTATGACTTTTCTAAGGAGTTCTAGGGGTCACCTTGCACCGATCATCCTTGAATCCTCAAAGGACAACATTTTTTAGGGGTCCTAGAAAGTAATCAGGGCTGAGAAATGCAGCTGAACACAGCGACTTGGGAAACAAGAGGCAACATCTTAGGAGACCAGACATTGAGATGGCAGATAGAGATCAGTTGTCCTCCTGCATTGATCTGGGCAGAAGGCATTTTGCAGTGGAGGGGCTGCTCTTTGAGAGATGGTACCTGGGGTGGGATTAGAATCCTTTTCTACTCCTAGCAGACTGAGGCCAAGAGCTACCATTAGAGACCTACTGGTGACTGACTGCACACACACAAGATCATTACCAGCGAGGCCCCACTGTCACTACCGCCACAGGCCAATTACTTTGGAAAATTAGCCCTCAAATGTCTACCACTAAAATGACCCTGACAATCCTAACCAAATTAGTAATTCTTATCTTCCTGGCAAGAGTCTCTACCAGACTCGAAATACATTAACACACCGTTTTATAATTTTCTAGCTATTTTCCCTCCGTATATAAGCTCTCATAAGAATCAAGAGGCCTTTTCAAGAGCATGAACAAATATGCTTAAAGGAGGAGAAAGCTAAGCCATTAGCCTCCGTTCCCACGAGCACCTAGCACAGCGCGGGGCCCGCGGGCAGGTTTCCAGCTGAAAGCAGAAGAAGAAACCGAGCAGGGGCGTTTCTCTCATGGGCCCCTGGCCAGGGGGAACAAGGGCCGTTCCTTTCACTATTCTCATTCAGAGACCCCAGATCACTTGGTTCTTTTCTGTCTTTCCTACAGCCTTACCTTTTCTAAGTAGGTATAACTCCATATTTTCCCATCAGCCCAAGTTCTGGAAATGATTTTTCCACTCTGGTCATATTCCATTTTTTCATTCCATGTCCCTCTTTGAATAAAGGTCACCAGTCCTGAAGGAGAATAGGTGATGTTCACTTCATTATATCTGCTTACAGGAGACCACAGGATGGGCCGGCCCGTCTGGTCGTAAAGAATGCGAAGGGTGAATTTCCGATGGTCATCGTAGATCTTTCCTGTGCGCGTTATGTGATCAAAATCAATGGAGAGCAGGTTTCTGTTATGGGCCTAGAGTGAAAAAGATGGAAAATAGATTAAAGCACTGCACTGATTTTCCTCACAATCACAAAGTCTTACCAGATCCTCCAACCACAGAGTATCTTCTCAAGCTTTAAATGCACGGCCCAAAGTCTCAGTAATTGTACCATACCATACCAGTTGCTGTAGTGGGTTTGACATCCGGCTGCTAACTGCAGGGTTAGCGGTTCGAAACCACCAGTGGCTCCTCGGGAGGAAGATGAGGCTTTCTACTTCCCGTAAAGAGTTCCAGTCTCAGAAACCCACAGAGGCAGTTCTATTCTGTCCTAGAGGGTCTATATGATTAGGACTCGACTCGATGGTAATGAGCTATCAGTGGCCGTTGAGTCCACTTTGACTCCTGCTGTGGTAGAGTTTATGTCAACTTGGATGTGTATGCAAGTATAGAGGGGAATCCAACCTATCAGTCAGGTCACAGCTGGATGATGCCTCCTTGGGGGTGTGGCCTTTTCTATAAGAGAGACACTGAGAACTTCTTCCTCTCTGCCCCCTTGGCCGTCCCACTTGCTGGGACTCTGACCTGTCTTCAGGGATGGCCCCATGTGGGTGCCCGACGGTGAGAGCTGTCTGTGCCCCGCCGTGTTCCCAGCCACCTTGGATCCACGCAACTCTG